GGCCCACGTTTTGGTGAACGTATCGCGTCAGACCTACGTGTTCAGTCTACGTGTTGAACTCCGTATCAGTACGCTACGTGTTGCGTGCTGCGTATGGGGCAGCTAAGATTATGATAGCAGTGATGGTGGTGGCGATGATGACGATGGCGACGACAAGGCGAACGACGGTGCCGATACTGGCTTCGACGACGACGACGACGATGGTGATGTCCACGTGCCTGTGGCGAAGGTAATTGCCGGATAAATGGCGGCATTGGCGGCGATTGTCCATGGCGAGAATGGCGGTGATGCGACGGCGATAACAAGGGTGATGGTGGGGAAGTGCGCTCGCGCGAAGACATCCAATCGATTTGGCGGACTTGTGTTGAAGAACGCTTCGCGTTCCATATGCTGCTGAACCGCTCGATCTTAACATGTTTCGAAAACGAATGGCGTTGGAAAGGTTCCGACGCGCGCGTGGCTGAACGCGCGTGTGGCCGACGTGGGGCTATGTGATACGGATGCACCGCGTGGTGATGTAAGAATGCGGTTGCTAGACGAGGTTGCTAAAAGCATACGGTTGTCAAATGATTTCAGCACATGCGTGCGGGCAGATGCGCGGGCAGAAAATCTGCCAGATGTGTTGTGGAAACGTAGGGTGTTTGATGTTGTTTTCTTTAAATGTGTGCACACCTATCGTGCATGTTATCATGTCGACATGTGCGCGCGTGTGGACGTCGTGCCATTTGTTGAAAGGAAGTCTTGGAACTATACTGTTCGAAATAAGCGAGTGCGCGCACATACCGTCATTTGACAGAGACGGTGTGGGCGATACGGACTTGGCTGGGACTCCCCATGCCCCAGGGGGCGATAAGTCCGGGCTCGGGAGGGACTTGTATCCGACCATCCTTTTGGAAGGAGAATTTTCTGCTATATGGTTAACAAAAACTTTTGGATTGATAGTGAACACCCATCAGAAATTCCAAGGACAAGCATCAATGTTCACTAACTCCAGATCTCGTTCAAAGGCAGCGAGAATCTGGACTGGGGCCTGGCGTTCTCTTGGAGCTCTTTTTACCGAACAGCGAAGACTGTTAGCTTTCTAGTAGGGTCAAAAGAGAGCATCATGACGCCCCAGGGGGGTCTGGGCGCGATCCGGGGGGGGGCCGGGGATTTTATTAAGCCAACAGTTACACAATTCGTGGTCTCCGAGGTCCCAGAACTCCATTCCCGGGCCACATTCTGAATGCCCGGAGCCAACTGTAGGCCACTTCGTGGTCGCTTCGAGTTCCCAGAACTTCATTCCCGGGCCACATTCTGAATGCCCGGAGCCAACTGTGTGCCACTTCGTGGTCTTCGAGTTCCCAGAACTCCATTCCTGGGCATGATTTTGAATGCCCGGAGCCAACTGTAGGCCACTTCATGGTCTTCGAGTTCCCAGAACTCCATTCCTGGGCATGATTTTGAATGCCCGGAGCCAACTGTAGGCCACTTCGTGTTCTTCGAGTTCCCAGAACTCCATTCCCGGGCCACATTTTGAATGCTGAGGCAGGCTGAGGCTGAGGCTGAGGCAGGCTGAGGCTGAGGCCGAGGCTGAAGGCAGACTGAGGCTGAGGCTGAAGCAGGCTGAGGCTGAGGCTGAGGCAGGCTGAGGCTGAGGCTGAGGCAGGCTGATGCTGAGGCAGAGGCTGAGGCTGAGGCTGAGGCTGAGGCTGAGGCTGAGGCTGAGGCTGAGGCAGGCTGAGGCTGAGGCTGAGGCTGAGGCTGAGGCTGAGGCTGAGCAGGCTGAGGCTGAGGCTGAAGCAGGCTGAGGCTGAGGCTGAGGCTGAGGCTGAGGCTGAGGCTGAGGCTGAGGCAGGCTGAGGCTGAGGCTGATGCAGGCTGAGGCTGAGGCAGGCTGAGGCTGAGGCAGGCTGAGGCTGATGCTGAGGCAGGCTGAGGCTGAGGCTGAGGCTGAGGCTGAGGCTGAGGCTGAGGCTGAAGGCAGGAGGCTGGCTGAGGCTGAGGCTGAAGCAGGCTGAGGCTGAGGCTGATGCAGGCTGAGGCTGAGGAGGCTGAGGCTGAGGCTGGCTGAGCTGAGGCAGGCTGAGGCTGAGGCTGAGGCTGATGCAGGCTGAGGCTGAGGCAGGCTGAGGCTGAGGCCGAGGCTGAAGGCAGACTGAGGCTGAGGCTGAAGCAGGCTGAGGCTGAGGCTGAGGCAGGCTGAGGCTGAGGCTGAGGCTGATGCTGAGGCAGGCTGAGGCTGAGGCTGAGGCTGATGCAGGCTGAGGCTGAGGCAGGCTGAGGCTGAGGCCGAGGCTGAAGGCAGACTGAGGCTGAGGCTGAAGCAGGCTGAGGCTGAGGCTGAGGCAGGCTGAGGCTGAGGCTGAGGCAGGCTGATGCTGAGGCAGGCTGAGGCTGAGGCTGAGGCTGATGCAGGCTGAGGCTGAGGCAGGCTGAGGCTGAGGCCGAGGCTGAAGGCAGACTGAGGCTGAGGCTGAAGCAGGCTGAGGCTGAGGCTGAGGCAGGCTGAGGCTGAGGCTGAGGCAGGCTGATGCTGAGGCAGGCTGAGGCTGAGGCTGAGGCTGATGCAGGCTGAGGCTGAGGCAGGCTGAGGCTGAGGCCGAGGCTGAAGGCAGACTGAGGCTGAGGCTGAAGCAGGCTGAGGCTGAGGCTGAGGCAGGCTGAGGCTGAGGCAGGCTGATGCTGAGGCTGAGGCAGGCTGAGGCTGAGGCTGTGACTGCAACTGCCGTTGCCACTGCGACTGCCATCGCGAATGCGCCTACGACTGCGAGAACAGCAGAATTCTACAACAGGATTCTCATCTGAATCTTAAGGGGAATGCTTCCAGATATGCTCCTACGCATCGCTGTTAGGTTGCTTTGCCGGGATAATCTCCCTAGAACGTTCGCATACCTGGACCTGAACGATTGATTCAGAAAACGCTTGAAAGTGCAGCCAGATTTCTTAGCGAAAACATGTCTTAACTTCGAGCTGGGGCGCATGTGGAGCAATGGGGGAGCGCTTGTCAGATGCGCCTGTGCAGAGTGTCGGCGGCGAGCGAGGGGAGAAGCGAGAAGGGGCGGGCCTTCTCAGAAGGCTCGGAAGTACCCGGCCTTCTAAGAGGTTTCTGAGCTCTCCCCGAATACACAGAAAACTGTTTAGAAGGCGCGAGGGCTTCTGAGAAGTCCAGCCGCCTTCTGAGAAGGCCTTCTCCTTCTCATTTCCCCCCCTTGCTCGCCGCCAATAGTGGGGTTGGCACCCGCCCCCCAGCGCAAGAGAGAAAAAATGTCGAAGGTCCCCTCCCCCGACCTTGGCGACCCTCCACCCCCCCCCCCTTGCGCCGGGGGAGGGGGGGAGGGCGGGGCGGGGGGGTCAGGGGCAACGACCGGGGGGGATGGGCAACGACTCGTGGGGGGGGAATAGAGGGGTTTTCGCCGTTCGACGTTTTCGATGGTTCTCGGCGGTTCTCCAGCCTCGGCACGCCCTCCAGCAGCTGCGCCTCGCCGCTGGCGTTCCAGGGGGGCCCGGATCGCCCCGAACGGCGGCCGGAGAGCCGAGCTACGGCCCGAAAAACCACCAGGGGGGCAACGATCGGGGGGGGGAAAGGCATAATCAGGGGGGGACGCATCGACCCCCCAGCGCCCAGTGATCGCCGATTGGGGCCCGAGAGCCAGAACCTGCGCAGGAAGGTGCGGATTCACTATCGGAGGCCCAGCGCCGATCCATCGGCGACGTATCGCCGATTCCAGGTCGATGTTTCCCCCGCCATGCCAGCCCTCCCCCGTGTCTTTTCCCCTGCGGGGGAGCCCCCCGGTTTCAGAGGGGACCTTTGGATTTTGTTCTGGGGGGGCGGGGGTCAAGGGCCCCCCCCGCGGTCTCGAGAATTGCCTTCCTGGGCAGCTCCCGGAGCGAGCGGATTTGGAGCTTGCCCTCTCGGGGTAATCTGTGCGGTGCTGGCTGGTCGCGCGTCCCCAGACATGCGATGTCATGATTTTTTCGATGCGCAATCCCAGGAAGTCCTGAACCTGGCCCCAGGACCGGTTTTTCATCCTGCGTCGTTCTTTGGCGGTCCCGAGGCCCGGCGAGGGCTCCCCGAGGCCGAAAACCGGCAAAAGCCTCCCGTCCCGATTTCCTTACGACTCGGAGGGAGGAGAAGCGATACCAACACCACCAGGGGGCCCACCGCCAGCGAGGAGGTCCACGATGCCTCTCCGAGCTGGAGGCTGGGGATGTCTCGAGCGAGAGGGGGGGACCACACCACCAGGGAGTTCCCCCTTGCCTCCTCGCATCTCCTCGCCCTGTTGGTGTTGGTGTCGCCTTTCCTTGTTCCTATACGACGCGATCGCGTTTGGGTTTGGAGACGCGATGCGCAGCGATGCGCCCAGGAGGCGCCCACGGGCGCCCTTAGCCGAAAAAACTTGGAGCCGCCAGCCAGCGCTCGGGGCGCCCCCTGGGCGAAACGCATGGCATCTGATGGGCGTGTTTTCCACCACCACCACCATAAGTTGGAGGGGGAGGTGGTCCTCCTCCTTCTCCTCCTCCTCCTCCTCCTCCTCCTCTTCGTCCTCCTTCTCGTTGTCCTCCTCCGCCTTCCCCCCTCCAACTCATGGTGGTGGTGGTGGAAAACGTGCCCATCAGCATCCGCCCACCAAAATTCAAGCAGCAAGCAAGAGCCCACTGGCGATCGTTCTCTCATTCCTCGTTCTGCCGATCGGCGCGGGCCCTCGCACCCCCCCCCCCTCCCCCCCAGCCCTTGCAGTGGATCTTGGCCGTTTTTGGCGCCCGTTACGAGCAGGTGGAGTCTCCCCCATAGGGCGCACTGCTGCAAACAGTCACTCTAAGCAGAGGTCCGAACCCAGACCCCCCCCCTTCTGTCCAATGTCGAAACGCCGAATAAGAAAACGTTCACGTGCAAGCATTGCTTGGGGAACATTCGAGAAGTGGTCCGAGCCAAACTTGACCAGCCTTCCCGCTCACGCTGTGGAAGTCAGTCGTTGGGGCCAGCGTTGGACCCGGTTCTGTAGACCCGTACCTCACAGGTGCGTCGCTTCCCGAAGAGCCTCCCGGAGGACTACCTGCTCATCGTGCGAATGATCAGCCTCGTGCGCGGATTGTGCACACAGCTGGACGTCGAGTTGCCGCTGCTCGAGATCTTCGAGCACCATGCCCGCCGCGCCCCGATCTCGGCAGACTGCTAATCCTGCGGAGCCGGGGATCGAGTGCTGCTGCAGGGGAGTCAGGGGGGGTCCCCCGATCCGGGTGGGGTGTGCAGCTCTGCTGAACTCCGGGAGGGTCCGCAGGAGGAGCGGGAGGTGGGAGAAGAGGGGGGGGTACCTCTCAGGACCAGGGGCAGCTTGGGGGGCACCTCCGAGTCTAGGTGAGGCGTGGAACCCTGCTCGATTCGGAGGAGGAGGATGGCAGATCGGTGCGAGAAGAGGAGGACGAAGCCCATTTCCTGCCCCTTTTGCTCCCGCACCCAGGCAGTCTCTGTTCGGGTCGTTCTGGTGGCGGGTCGTTGCCTCTGCCATTCAGAACACACTCCTGGCCCTTTCACTCTGCTGCAGTGGAGGCCCATGCCCCATGCCAGGAAACACCCTGCCTGCCTCCAGGGTGCCCTGGGTTTCGTGGGCTCCGATGGCTTCGCGACGGAGAGCGATGCGCCCCCACACCAAACATTCGGTGGGTGTCCCGGGGTCTCCGGGTTTAGGTGTCCCGTGGATGGCTTCCTGTGGTCGGGCTGTGGAGGCTTTCCCGGCTTCCCTGCGGATGTACCAGCCTCGAACTCATCCCTATCCTTAAGACTGACACGCCAAGAGGCGATGAAAATCTTAGGGATTCGCCCTCAAAAAATAAGGGAATCCTTAAGATTGGATCGTGATGAGGAGATGCCCAGCACAGGGATAGAGATATGTTCCAGGATTGTAAGGCTCCCCCCTTCTCGTAACACGTCAGCGGCTTACGACGCGTTCGGATCGTGCCGACGCGGCGGCAGGGCGCTCCAGGTCGAACGCCGGCTGCGGCCCGGGATCGCCCGACATCGAACGGTTTTCGGGCGTTGCGCAATGGGAGGGGGGGGGGCAATCAACAGGAGGAAGGAGGAGGAGAAGGAGGAGGAGGAGGAGGAGGAGGCTGATGGGGGAAGGGGAAGCGAGGAGGGAGGAGGAGGAGGGGGAGAGGTGGACGAGGAGGAGGAGAAGAAGAAGAAGAAGGAGGAGGAGAAGGAGGAGTATCAGGAGGAGGGGAAGAAGAAGTGCGCTTTTCGTCCCCAGAAGGTAGCCCCAAAGGGGCCCCTGGGGCCCAAAAGGGGCACGAAAGGCCCGAGCTATCGCTCCCCAGTGAAAACAGCGCCCGAACGATCTGCGCCACTTCGCGGGCGGGGATCGACGAAGTTTCGGAGGCAGATGCCCGCGGTGCGCCAGATCGAGGCAGGGCCCCGCGTGGGCGCGAGGCCCCCCTCTCCCTTCTCCTCCTCCCCCCCCTCCCCCTCCTCCTCCTCCTCCTCCTCATCTTCCTCCTCCTTCCGTAGCCATTTTGGCTCAAGTTCGAAAGGCTTCTCTGGCGCTTCGAGCTTGATCGCTGCCGAGGAGACGGCTCAGAGCGCCCCTCTTGCGAGGACAGGCCTCGCGGCACAGGAGCTTTTGTGGCTCACCACCTGGCCCTCTGGACCCTTCACGTTTCCACGCAGTTCTTCCGCAGTACTTTTCCTTCATATCTTCGTCTAGCATCTGCTCATGCCAAGCGATGGGACCTCCGCCTTTCGCAGCGAACGTGGAGGGTCGCAGCACCATCGCCGACGCCGACACGACCGACAGGATGAACGCCGCCGTGATCGACGACGGGATCGCTCGTCTTCGCGTTCCAGTGGGAACTCGCCAGGGGATGCTTCTGCCCCACCTCCACGCCACCACCATCAAGGCGCTGCTGGCTCTACTGGTGGCCACCGTGGCCCTGGCGCTGCTCATCCACAGGCTGACATTCCCCATGACGAACGGGCACGACTCGCTGCAGCCGCTGATCTCGCACCGACGTTCCCTGACCATGAACGACCCCCACCACGACCTGAGGCCCCACACAGCCGCCCCGATCCTCTTCAACGTGATGGTGATCCTTTGCGTAAGCAGCGTCATCAGCCGGCTCCGCTCACCACGGTCGAGAGCATCGAGGCCGCTGTCACGGCGGCCTTCCAGCAGCAGCTCGGGGGGATGTGCACCGAGGTCAACACTATTATGGGCACGGTGCACTCCAACATGCGGGACACGGTGCCTGAGCTCATGCGCTCCCAGGCGGCTCCGTTGGACGGTCATGATCACGACATCAGGCGGCTCCAGGATAAGACCGACACCATGGCCCAGGACCAGAAGGTGCTCCGCGACGACCTGGACGCCGTGCAGCGGAGCTTTGCCCAGGCCCAAACTGCTCAAGACACGGCCATCGACCTGGCCAGGCTCGCCACCTACGACCGCCCCGCCGACCCGAGCGTCTTCCGCATCGGCTGCTCTCATCCCATCGCCTTCAGCGAGATCGAGGTGGCCATCGCCGATTGGGTCAAGGACGCGGGCCTGGAGTCCAGTCAATGTGCTCTTCATGGCAATTAGCAAGCTCTTTCATTTTCATCTCCCAGGTGGCCCTGCTGGCGTCGCCCAAGCCGTTCGTCTCGCGCAACACCTTCAATTTCCAGGTGGCAGCTGGCGACGCTTCACGGCCAAGGGCGTCACGGGAGCACAGGAGGCCTTGCACGTCAACCCTGACAAGAGCCCGAAGCAGGTGCGACGCGAAGTTCATGGGAAATGTCTTCTCGGCATCTTGCAGCGCACCTACCAGGACAAGGACTGGAAGCTCCTCAGGTCCAGGGGCATCATCATCAACGCGACGCCCATCGTGGAGATCTCGCCTCAGGGAGTGGACGAGCCGACTCGATTGGCATGGTCCCCGCAGGTGGTGGCATAGCACAACGTTGACTCCCAGGGCGCCAGCACGCAGTTCAAGCAACGGCTCCAGAGCGTGGACACTTCAGCGTGGACTTCATCCTAGCAAACGGTTCCAGCCTTGGGAAATCAACGGTGGAGATCGGCGTGGTCTACGGGTTGCTGCGTGGAACGCTCGCGGACTCTGTTGCTGGAACCACAAACTGCGACGTCAGAAGCTCAACAAGACCAAGCACCTCCCCGAACAGCGACACCTGATTCTGGTTCAAGAAGTACACGGCAACGAGATGACGCCCACCACTTTACTGGACCAGCTGCCCGTGCGCGACCGTGTCTTCTACAGCGGCTGTCCCACCGAGCATGCTGCGCCACGCCCGCAGGACCTCGCTGCCACTGCGCTGGCTGGCGGCGAGCCTGCCTCGGATGAAGTTGATCACCGCGCTGGTGGAGTTGCTATCATCGTGCCGTGGCATGATCCTGCTCATGCACGACAGCTCCCTGTTCACCTTCAGCCGCAGTTATCGCACAATGCTCTGGTCCCTGGACGGATTCACATGCCCGGGGTCACCGACAGCGACGGCCGCGCGATCAGGATCATCAAGCACCACAACTACGGCATCGACTTGACTGCTCGGGCGGCGATCCGTCTGGCTTGGATACGGAATCTTGATCGGGCACGACAGCGCGAGCTGACCAGGCTGGCGATCCATGCTGGCGGCTTCAACGTGAGCAACTACACAAATCAATCGCTCCTTTTCCCTCGTCCACGGCAAGCGCGGCGTTCGCTAGATGGCAGAGCCACTCAGTCAGAGCCGCGCTGGAGATCTCTCTTCGATGGTGGCATGCTGGAGATCGAGAGCCCCCTGCCGACCCACTTTGACAGATCCTCGCACGCGCTTAACACCATCGATCGCTTCTTCATCTCGCTGAGCACGCACTACGCGACGGACTGCGACATCTCGATCAACATCCTGCAGGAGGCCGACAATTGGAGTGATTTCGTGCCTTCGGACCACGCCATCGTCGTCCTGCATCTTCAGCCTCGGCGCCCCACACCTGCTGAGCTTCAGAGTATCCCAGCCTACTTGTTCGCAATGTGAGGTTCAACGGGATTCTTCAGACGTGCATTGACTGCGCTGGCTTGGACGACCTTGGTGTGCAGCAGCGGTGGCAGAAGATCAGGGTTCTGATGCGCATAGCGGCTGGTCTCACCTGGCGGCGCTCAACCTGCTCGTGGCGCACGCGGAAGGGGAAGCGAAGCGCATCTCCCAAATCCAGATTTCCCCTGCTCTTACCCGAGACGGAGTGCTTGGTGCTTCGCATGGCGGCTCGAGCTATCTGGCGCCAAGACGTACGGCTTGCCCATCGTCTTCATGGCTCCTCTGCTCTCGCTCGTCGCTACTTGGCCTTCGCGGACAGCGGCGTCGTCTACATCGCTGATGGGGGGGCCTTCAGGAACCGTGCGATAGACTGCAACCAGCGCCGCTTCGACGCGATCGGAGAGCACGCAGCTCGCGCTGGACGCCGTCGCCGACAGCAACCACAAGGTGATGGCTCTCCAGCTGGCGCTCCTAGGATGGTCAAGGAACAGGTCACAAGTATGCGGCAGGCGCCGGACTGGAACCCGACGCGGCGCCGGCTCGTCGTGAACGGCCTCAAGCACGATCAGCCGGCAGACGGCGCGATCATCAGGAGCCCAATCGGCATGGCCAATGCGATCCGCGAGCATTTGGAGCCCGTCTTCGCAGCTGCCTCTGGCAGCGACCAGGCCATTTCTGAATATCTGGACCAGCACCTTCCCTCCTTTTCACCCCTTGACCGTATTCTCCCTACTCCAGAGGACCTCGCCAGAGCTTTGCGCCGAGGACGGGCCTCCTCCCCTGGCCCCGATCGTTTGCCGTGCGCCGCGTGGAAAGCCGTGCCAGTGGCAGCTGAGATCCTCTACGATGTGTTGTCGCGGTGATTCTCATGCGGGGGCCCTGTCGAAGGTTCGAAACAGTCGAATTTTGCTTTCATCCCGAAAAGTGAAGATCCACAAGGTCTCACTGACTGCATCCGTGATGCGGCCTCGCTCAGGCCATTAACTTTGAAGAATACCGACAGTGACGCTCTCTCCCAAACCGTCAACATACACCGGAGTACAGTAGCCAAAGAACGTGTCCACAGGGTCCAGCAAGGCTTCATTGGAGGTCGCAATTTTGGGAATCACGTTATAAATCTCGACGCTGGAGCTAGGCTGACCAGTTTGGGTGACGATGCCAGTGAACGGCGGCCGTGTTTCGTTCCCTTTTCTTTCCGAGCTGCTTTCCCGAGCATGTCCCAACATTGGCTCCGCGCGGTGCATCGTAGGTTCGGACTCCCCCAGGGCTACCTCGATGCGCTGGAAGCTCTGTCCGAGGGATCGGTCGGGCAGTTAAACGTGGGTTCGCAACGGGTCCGTCTTTTGAGAATGTCCCGTGGTGTCCCACAGGGATGTCCTCTGTCTGGCACTGCGTGGGCTTTGGAGATGGACCTGTTGGTCCGCCACCTAGCGCAATCGCGCGAGGCTGCCTCGGAGGCGATGGCCCCAGCTGTGCCCCCCCAGGGGATCGACAGGCGAGCGCATTAGCCAGGTGTCCCCCTTTCCTGCTCTCACCGCCGCTGCTGGTGCGTGTGCTGACGACGTCGGCGTCTCTCTTCCCTCCCTCTCGCTCCTTCCTCTCATCGAACCACCCTTTTCGGGCGGCGGCGGAGTTGGCGTTGCTCGAGGTTCAGCCGAAGCAATGCGGCCTGTTTCCCACGTGGGCGATTGTGGACCCAGGGGAGATCGAAGCCCTCCGCGAAACGATTCGTTCGCTCGTGCCCGCGCGGGCGGAGTTCACAATCTGCAGCTCTCGTCGACGCCTTGGTTTCGTGCTCGGCCCAGGCGCCGCGGAGGAAGATCAATGCCTTGCGAGTGGCCAGAAATGGCGGTCATGCGGCCGCGCGGTAGCGGCGACCCGTGCTCCTGCGGAGGCGTGCCTGCGGCTCTATAGCATCCTCATTATCCCCTGTCTCTCCTACCTCTGCCAGTTCTTCTTTCTCCCGTTGACCCTTCTCCAAAAAGAGCTGCTCGCGCTGCGCAAACTCTTGCGTCTGCCGCCATCTAGTGTCTCTCTCGCGGAGCTGCTGTCTTTCCGGTGGCTCCACATGCCCGAGCCACCGCGAGTCATGAATATCGCTGTGATTTGGAGGGCGGCGGGTCGGACGTTCAGAGGGCGGGGGGATCGTTGGTCGAAGCTTCGTGCTAGAGCCTTCGCGGAGGCGCCCGCAGTTCAGGCGCAGAGGCCGCTGGCGTGCTCTGTGCTGGCGCGCGCGATTCAGCATTGTACAGCGATATGATTCGCTATTTGATCCTACCCCTGATGCCTCCCTCTTTGGTCGCCCCCTCTCGGCTGAAGTTGCCGTTCCTTCTGTCCGATCGTCTCCCCCGCTCGTTTTCGCTTTCTCGGTCATCAGGCAAGCTCATGCGTTCACGCTGGCTCGTGTGCAGGAGAGGAGACGTCGCCGCAAGCCGGTTGCGTGGCAAGTTCTCTTCTTTGCTTCTCTTCGCTCCCAGATGCTACCTGATGGCGTGCCAGCGCTCATCGGTCGACGATTCCGCTCCTACTTTCCTGAGAGTCCCTGCCCTCCTGCCCCCATCCTTCGTCACCGATGGCAGCGCCTCAAGGCCCATCTCAGCAGAGTTCCGCCGTCTCACGCCTGGCCTCACATCAAATCGGTGGCTGGCGCGTGGAACACCAGCGGCAGAGTCAACATCCCCCCCCAGAGCGCGCGCAAGTTCGGATGCGTAAATCGCCCTGGCACCTTTCCGCACTACCTCTTGTGCCCGAGGATCTGGGCCGCCACCGACCTCCTCGGACCCCCTCCTCCTCCTGAGCCTCTGATGCGTTTGGGGTGGGGGGGGGTCCCCAGGACTTCGCGGACGGGGAGGTCGGATGGCAGCGGGCCCGCCGGACCCTAGTTTTGATTTTTCACATTTACTTCAAGCTTCGGCCCCGCCTGGGCTCAGCGGTTGTCGCTACCGATTCCCAGCTGCACCAGGCCCGCAGCGCCGCGCGTGCTGCTTTCCATATGTAACGGATCACGCCCCCCCAGGTGACGCGTGCTCCTCCTCCTCCTCCTCCTCCTCCTCCTCTTCTTCCTCCTCTCCCCCTCCTCCACCCAATCGCCCTCCTCTCCGCGCTCCTCGTACTCGTCCTCCTCCTTCTCCCGCGCCCTTCCCACTCATCATCGCTCGCAGCCCAATCCCAATCCAATTTCTCAGTATCACCATCACCATGAGCATCACGACCGTCTCCGCCATCATCCGCATCATCATAACCATCATCATCCTCATCATCATCCTCATCCTCATCATCACCAGCATCATCATCAGCGTCGTCAGCATCATCATCATCATCATCAAGACCCTGAAAGCCCAGGAAGAGCCGAGGAGCGCCCCAAAAGGGCTGCGGCGCGGACCCTGACAGCGCAGGGACGGCCGAAGAGTGCTCCACGAGCGCCCTTTGGAAAACCTCCCCCCGAGGATCCTTACGGTGGGGGGGGGGGGGGGGGGGGGAACGCGGTCGGCGACCTCCGGGAAACCCAGACCGCGCCTGTCCAGCAGCCTGCCCCATTCACAGA